TCTCAACTAAGGCCAGGTCACAACTCTGTCAAAGTTGCAGCGGCCAGCGCGCCCGCCACAACGCCTGCACGCAGAAACAGGCGTTGGAAACTGATTCTAGGAAGGCATTTCAATGGATTTGAGATGAAAAAAGGGTAATCCAGGACCTTTTTGTCATCTCGAAAAGTTGGTGTTCGATGAACACATATATTTAATATGGACGAAAAGGGGTTTCAACTTGGCCGGGTTGGCAATACAAAATGTATATTCGACAAGAGACTCTACGAGCAAAAAGAGGCAAGGCAAGCACTTGAAGATGGCTCAAGCGAGTGGATAACGGTGATAGCTTGTATTTGTTCGGATGGCAAAGCTTTGAGTCCAACTCTCATCTTCCAGGGAGCCAACGGAGCTGTTCAATCGAGCTAGGTTGATGCTGTACGAGCAGGAGAACACTCAGTATTTACTACGTCATCACCCTCTGGCTGGAGCAACAACGATATTGGGTTAGCTTGGCTCAAGGGGGTGTTTGAACGGGGGACTAGACGATACGCTTCAACCGGGTATCGATTACTACTCCTTGACGGCCACGGATCCCATGAAACCATGGAGTTTATTGAGTATCGCCACGACAACAAGATCCTCTTGTTTGTATTTCCACCTCACGCTACCCATACGCTTCAACCACTTGATGTGGTGATGTTTAAACCCCTTGCAACCGCTTACTCAACTCAGTTGGCTGGATACCTTCAGGACAGCCAGGGGTTGCTCAATTTGACTAAAGGAGACTTCTTCCCGCTCTTCTGGAGGTCCTGGAGCTCTGTATTCAAACCTCCACTCATCAAGAGGTCTTTTGAAGCCACCGGTATACAGCCAGCCAACCCAGACGCTGTACTCAAGAAGTTTGCCAAGGAGGCTTCAGATTCTGACAGCAGCCAGTCAGTCCTCTCTGGTGAAGACTGGCTCAAACTCAAGTCAATCGTACGCCGTGAGGTGAAGGATCAGGGCAGTAAGGACGTCAAGAAGCTTCAACGAAGCTTGTGCCACATCGCAGCTCAAAACAGTATACTCCATGAAGAGATTAGGGGCCTCAGGCAGTCCCTAGCCATCAAGGAGAGGCGACCAAAGCAGTCCTTCACCCTCCAGCTTGATGAGGAGGTTTACCATGGGGGAGCCAAACTGTGGTCGCCCAGGAGTGTACAACGAGCTCGCGATCGTCGGGCATCACAACAACAACAACAGGAGCTTGAAAAGCTTCAAAAAGCGGAGAAAGCCGAAGCCGACAAGACAGCTCGCCTTTGCAAGCTTCAACTCCAAAAAGCAAAGCGTGTTGAGCGGGAGAAGGGTTGGGAGGAGACTAGAAAGCAGAAGGCTGCAGAGAAAGCCGAAAGAGACTACCGTAGAAGCTTCCGCGACGCTGCTAAAGCTATATAATTGCCCTAATCGGGTAAGCGTAAAGCTTTAAAACCTCATAAGCTAGCTATAAAGCGTCAAAAGCGTGGTGGTGTTGCTCTAGCTGTGGTGGGAGCCGCAAGGGTTGCACGAGCTGCTCTCAGAGTTGCTATCAGTCAGTTCAGTCAGTCCGGAGCTCTCTGGACTGACTGAACTGACGTCCTGAGGTCACTGAACTGGACTGGACTGACTGCCAAGACTTTTCAATTAAACTAAAACTGACTGACTGAACTGACGTCGCCGCGGCCTGCGGACTGACTGGACTGACTGAACTGAGTTACCTGACGTCGAACTGAGATAAATGCTCCTGTACTTTTGAGATTTCTTCCTCTGATAGTGTGCGCGCTAGCCCAGAAGCTGAGGTAGTTGTTGGCTGTATACCAAGCCTCTTCCAGCTCTTCAAGCTCTGCAAAGCTGAAATAAGCTCTGGCTTCATATGGAGTCTCCGGGTGCCTAACATGTCGCCAAGCTCGCTGAAAGTCCGCTCACAGTCTGCCGCTGCTGCTGGTATTGTTAGGACGTCAATAGCGAACTTTGAGAGTATAGGGAACTGCCCAGCAACTGACTCCCAGTATAGAAGCGGATTAAGAGACAGCCAATCCTCCTCAGCTAACGCTGGTTGCCGCTTCCATATCTCATACTCATCCTCAGCAAGGCTTGCCTCTAACTGCCGTGTGCTTTGCTCAATTGACGACTGTAGAAAAGCTGATCGCGACGTTGAAATCCCTAGCCGGGGCTTCTTACGCGGCGGCGTTACAGTGTGAGCTGAAGTGGCTGCAGAGTCCTTCCGCCCCTGCCACATACGCAGGAATGCCCGGTGGTTATTGTCAAGCCAGCCGTCGCGATAGTGGACACCGTCACGGGCAGTGACATGGGTGTCAGGCACCTTCCAGAGCGCTGAGAGGTGGTGTTTGTAGTGCGGGTGTAGTATTGTAGCAGTGTAGTAGACAGGCGCGTTATCGAATTTTGCGTAGTACTTAGCAAGCTTACAATGTGCAAGGTTAACGTTTGTAATAAGATGATCTTCAGGCGCATCTAGATCTTCGTAATATTCACCACACTGCTCTTTAGCACCCGCGCCAATGGAAGACTAGCTCTGAAATTGGAGTACGCAAAACACCACCCAAATTGTACAAGACCCATAGAAACTCCACAACGACCATCATACATAGAACGGCTTAGCCAAAGTCCTACATAGTCACCGACTGATACAGGACTCTAATGGAAATATAATAATAATAATAATAATAGATCTTCGTAATTTACATCCTTAAGGCGGTCTTTGAGAGCCTCAAGCTGGTCAAGAAGCCACTCAAACGTTACTAGAACTTCCCATATAGCGCCGTGTCGGCCGTGTCGGCCGCGACCTTCAAGTAGCCGTGTAGCTTCGGCAAATGGCTCAAGGAGTCGAATGTATTCTGTTATTGTCGCCCAGTCCTTGCCGTTTAGACCCCCTTCGCGTATATATAACCGTGGCTG